TAAAATCCATAATTGGTCGATCTTATGAATAAATCCTGCAGTGTCTGTGCAGCAGGCCAAGTTCAAATGTGGCCAGCACTCTACAGGGTGTCATATGAGAAAAAAGCTTATTAAGATCCCACTTTATTTTCAGTCCAGGACCTGATGGTACAAAAAAAGAAAAGAAAAAAAAGTTGACTTTGGAATGACGGGAAAAGAAAAAAACAGTAGTGGAAGTATCAGGGGCCCAATCATGATGTCAAGATGTCCTTGAGGAAAGCACTTAGCCAGTCATTTACCAGTGTAGCTTGGGTGTAAAGGACAGCTGCAGTGTGTATGCAACGGCTTCATAATACAATTGGGTGTGTGCAGTGTGATATGATGCAGGACTTTCATGTGCACCCCCTCTGGGATAACTGCAATTAAGTGGTTTTCTGAAGGCTGTTAACATGGATGATGGTTGCTACAGATCAACATGATGGTCTGCAGATGGTAGAAATTCTTAAGTGACAAGTTATTATGTGTCTTATTGTGTTTGCGGGCTTATACTTCTTCCTTTTCAACCTCTGCTTCTCCATCTCTTGTTTTCTCCCTCTCCTCAGCCCTTCAGGAATGCATTGAATGTCCTTATCTTTGCCCATGCAAACACAAGGGTGAGCCAGCAGCAGAGGTTGAATTCCTCTGCAGATCTCAGGCAGACAGGCCGCACCACACACTGGCATCTAGACAGGCTTCAGAGAGAGAAAGGTGCTGTACTCCCACTGAACCTCTCAAACCCCCTGAAGAGACACTAAAATAAACTAAATTAAACTGTAGACCTTTCGTGTTTTTGTCACAGCAGTACCTGCATTAAATTATTCTACTGCTTATTTTGACTTTAGGGAGTAAGGCATCAACTCCAAATGTTGACCTGGATTAGCTACAGCCTCAACTTTCCAAAATCTTTGTTCTGGCTAGTGGTCACCATTAAACTTGTTTTCATTTGCATGACTAGTGGGACACAAAATACAGTACACACACATACCACACCCATGCCAGACATTGTAGTGTTTTTTTTAGATTCTGTGTGGAACACAATAAAAATTTGGTTTGACCAAGCGGCACTTTCGATTAATGTAGTGACAACTAGATGAGTCTAATAGAGCCCAGGGGATAATTACTGTCTGCATATGTTTGCGTTGTGGAGTCTTTTCAGAGAGTCAGTTGGCTAAATCTGGTAAAAAAAACAAAACAAAAGTATGTCACACTCACTTAACTCTCTTAATATGAAATTAACCAGAACATAAGACTTCAGTGTAGATGAATTTCATCAATGTAAAGGTTGTTTTTGGAATAGAAAGAAGCTGTTGAAAAGATCCAAAGATTCAGTGAATCTGTTGCTGATTCTGATCTGAATTAGGAAGTTGATGTTGATAAAATAAACAAGAAGAAGAAAACAGAAGGAATCAAAGCACAATAATCATTGATCTGGTATGTTATCATAATATCCACTTCCCTATTAGCAGCATCATTCATGCCCTTTTTATGTAATTTAGTTTGATCCCAGTTGCCTCGTCGGGCAACACAGAAATCTTCCTCCTCTTTCTTTCTCAAGAAACGCACACGCATATCCAGACACAGTATTTTGTGTGTGTCACCTCTCCAGACAGCGCGCCCTGTAGATGCACACAGAAGCCATTGATACCTCCACACAATACACCCTCACACGCAAACACATGGGATCACAATGCTTCTGCTGCCATACACGCTGCTGCACTTATGCCTGTGCATAAAATTACACTGACAGGGGACGGACAATAGACAGTGCTGTTCTGCATTAGTGTCCACAGGATACGACACACACACACACACACACAATCACACACACACACACACGTCTACATGGATCATCAAAATACAATGCTTTTATAAAGAGGCCTAGTATCACACCAAGGTCTCGTTTTAGATTTTTTGCTTTGGGGCGGTGTTAATTTACCACAGGGGGTTTTGCATATGCTCTGAGTAATAATTAACATCAGCATTTCCCCAGTGGCTCTGAGTACAGAGGTTTAAATCAAAATAATCACCCTTCTCTCCTTTCTTTGATGAATCTGTGATGGTTAAATGGTTTTCAGTAGACATGTTATGATACCATTTAATTCTTACAGATACCATTTGCAATAGCTACACTTAGAGGATATTAACCAGTACAGAGTGCCACTCTGATACTGGTTGGATATAAATGTATTGGTGGGAGAACACTGATTAACTGGACCGACTGAGGAAGCCAGGGTACCTGGAGAGATCCCATGCATGCACAGTGAGAATATGCAAACTCCACACAGAAAGGTCCCCTGTGCAACTGGTGATTCGAACCAGGGGATGTACAGTGCTGGTTTCATATCTGGCAAACCGAGATGCGTCCAAAACGGCCGTGTGGGGTACCCTAGAAAAAACGCCTACCTATTATGGTGAAAACAAATACAGAGCTTTTGGACCAGAATAAAAGGAGGATGTACTGGCTGCTGCATTGTTGTCAGATAATCCAGCACTTTAACATACTGTAGCATGTTTCCTTAATGTCTGATGATATAGTAAGGTCGTCTTACTATTTAATTCAGTAGATATCATATTGGACCTTTAAGCAGATCGATTTAATTATTGTCGTTCGTTTAGAAAGAAATCTGCCTTCACGCTTCTTTAATAGAATAGAACAGAATTCTTTATGAAGCTGTTCGATTGACATTGACTTAATCTTGGTTTTTCAAAGGCAACGCTCACCACCCAAAGTCTATCTTTGTCTGCGAAGGAACACAAAATGATTCATTCCAGGATTGTATTGTCACATCCTTTTTCCTCCACCACATCTGCAGTGAGCAATAGACCACAACAATGCCTACGCAGGATGCTGTAGCCTCAATCCTCTGACACAAACACAAAAACCGCCTCGCAGATGGACAATCCTCATCATTACATCAGCCGTGTGTGCCTCACTATGGTGAGGCACACACGGCCCCCTGCTGCTGGAAAGACCCCCCGTTGAAATCTCTTTTTAGTCTTCAGCAAAACATCTTTCTTTTCTTTTCAAAAGTCAAACTTGCTGACAATTTAAAATGAAGTGAAAATAGTCTTGGGTAACTGTTGCAACCGCAGAAGTCCTTTTCTGTACATTGCTTCCTCATTACATTTATGTTATGAAAATCATATTTACAACACCAGCTCCTTGCAAAATGGATTTGCAAGCCACCCTGTTATGTAACATTTTGTCTATATTTCTGTGTTTGAGCAGGGAAAACATGTCTTTGTACCACAGACTTTTGACTTTGATCATATTTATACACAATAATTAAGCTTAGCCGAAGACTGACTTTGCGACATCCATCCGGATTTTGTGTGTTTGAATATTGAGGTGTTGAAAGGAGGAAATAGAAACATAAGTGACCTTTTTGAAGATAACAGTAACACAAATGCAGCAAACGGGTCACACTCGAGGGGTCAAAGCTGTAGCATCTGTTTTTCTGCAGCAGTGAGGGGCTTCACGTTTCTCTGAGGAGGTGGAGTAACTCGTCTGTGAATAATGAGAGCCAGACATGGTGCCATGTTTATACAAGAATTTAATACACATTAAACACACACACAAGTGTGAAGACTACTGGCAAGAATGGGCAAAGACTATCTCAGACAGTATTTGTCAAATGGAGGCTATAAAGTACAAAAATATAAGTCAAAGTATCTGTTCCAAACAAAGGTGAACTCAACTACATATTTGAAAACTTCAATCTTACATGTCTTAGCTGTGAACAGGATTTTTAACAGTTACATTAAGTCTTTCCCATCTGTGGGGTCCTGAACCCCACGTGGGGTTGCCTAAAATATTTATCTAAGTATTGATCAATAAAAAATCGACTCTCTGTCCGTCTCTCATCCATTGTGCAGAAATTAATTCGGAGCCTTTCTTAATCTGTCCACAATAATATACATGAGAAAGCCTAAATGAGGTCTACAATGAAGGTTACTTAACACAGTAGAAAAAAACGATTACATGATTGAAAATAAATTAAGTTTAGCACAAAGCTGTTTGTGTTTTGGATGTCTGGGGTCGCCAGAGTTTTTGTGAAGTCAAAGTGGGGTCGCAGGCTAAAAAAAGTTTGGGAACCAGTGGATTAAGCCCTTGCACTTATAAAGTACTTAAAGTATTCTATGCAGATTGTCACAGCTCTTTGCATGTTCAGGTCTGAACACAATCGGTGTTTCCCTGGGCAGATGGCCTTTGTGAGGATCAAAACTTGTGACCTTTGTGATATAAAATAAGAAATTGTAGCGAAAACCAACAGAAAGCAGTGCTGAAGATAAAGTTATTGTCAAAATGTGAGTTTTTTAAAAATAATTCAGCCAAATCAGTGTTCAGACTTTGTCACAAGTTTTCTGTATTCTTTTCATTTCTAACCTTGAGCCCAATCTGTGACTTGCCTTGAGTCTCTTTGTACCTCCCTCTTCCCCTCATCTGATCAAACCCTTCCTGTTTTTGCTCCTCAGTTTTACAGCTCAGTCTAGTTAGTGTTTATCATAGAAGAGTGAGCTGCCTGGCCTTTAAAAAGGAAACATTTAAATCTTGCAAACACCTTTTGGTAAACAAGACACGAACATGGTTGAATGCTACTCTGAAGCCACAGTTTTCCTTTATGTGTGAAAAATGTTTGTCCTTTTTGGGATTTGTAGATCTTAAAATACTTCATATCAGATAATCGTCATCAATGAGTTGAGAGCAACTGTTTAATGTATGTGCCAAGTGCTAATAATTAAATAAAATAAAGACAGGGCTCTCACTATAATCCACAACTGGTTTCTATTTCATGTCATGTTTAATGTGGTTTGATGCTGCCATGTCAGAAGGGAATAAGATCGGGTCTCATTATCCGTCATAAAACCTCTCGTCACCGCTCGAACCATCTTCACTTAGGGCTGTTATTCTTATAATAGTCGCTGATGTTAGCTTATTAATTAACAGCAGGCGTTTGATCCATGTGATGATCTCCTCACAGGTCCTCAACGCGCAGAAAGCCGGATACAAGGCGGCCATTGTCCACAATGTGGACTCTGATGACTTAATCAGCATGGGCTCCAATGACCGTGAGTTACCACCTCCTCCTCCTCCTCCTCCTCCTCTTCTCTGCACATCATCATTAGCATTTAGCATCTCACACAACTGCCCTGCGTGCATGCATCTTTTGACAGTAGATGTGCTTTTGTTTATCTCTAACGCCCCCCAGCCTGAGGAGAAGCTGGGTCATTTTATCATTTAAAGAAAGGCTTTTTTGGGTCTCAAGATGATCTTGAGGAAGGAAGTGATGCCCCGCAGCAGCCTAACATTCCCTGCTTATAAAACCATGCTGCCCCTGTTCTAACACTGCTCTGTGATATTGTTTTGTCTGAGGTTTTCTTTCACTTGCGTCTCTTCTGTTTTAATTTGAAGGGCTGCAGCCACATCATAAAAAAACAGAGGGCTTCTGGGAATAGGACAGCAAACTTTAACGATGACCTTAAGCTGTATTAACTGATGCAGACTTTCAATGCACTTAAAGAATTCGACCTTGAATGTTGTTACAGTTTTTGTGAAATGATGCTGTAGTTTAATGAATGTGTGTTTCAGTGCTGCACAAACAAGGGTTCATTTAGACACCAGGTTTAAACATGTTTTAAGGTTGTTGTATGGATTCAGGCATTAATAAACTTCTAAAACTTCTTTTTTGTATTCCTTTGTAGTGGATGTTATGAAGCAGATAGATATTCCCTCAGTGTTTGTGAGCGAGCTGACTGCCAACACTTTGAAAGTGGACTACACGTATGACAAGGGGTAAGTGGGAAAAAAAAAATAAAAATCTCCTTTCCGCATCAACATGCGCTTTTCACAGTTTCTTTTCCCTGAAATGTTGTGAAGAGGGCACTGCTTTTTCACACAATCCTGTCCAGCTAGTCCTTCCTTTCCAGCTCTTTCACACAAGTTCCGTCTGATGTTTTTTTTTAAAAAGAATAATGCCTGCAGTGTGCAGCTTTATATATATCCAGGCAGAGGATTTGTCTTGTGATGTGTGTCACTGCTGCTGTGGTGGTAATAAAACGCCTCAGCCTGTCAGAGGAGCCCAGACAGTCACAGCGTATAAGCACCATTTCTGCACTTTCAAATCAGCTGATGCGTCTGTGGTGCCTTTTTTTTACAGACGCCCAGACATGGTTTGAACAGTGTTGACCAAATTTGCTGTTACAACTCTTCTACAATGACATATTTAAAGTAGAGCCCCCGCAGCCCCTTGATGCACAGTATGAAGTGTCATTGTGTTACCATACACAAACAAGACTGAAATTAATGTCTACAATGCTGTGGCTGTAATGAATGATGCCAAAATAAAGTTTCTACAGAGGTCACATTCAGTGGGTTTGTATTACCAGCACCTGACAATAGCTCTGCTTGTTTGTACAGGGGGCATGTTGTCCTCATGCCAGACTTCAGCCTGCCCCTGGAATACTACCTGATCCCCTTCCTCATCATCGTGGGAATCTGTCTCATCCTCATTGTTGTTTTCATGGTAGGTTTAATGTACAGTACGACATCTTCCCATTAAGTCAAAGTTAATAATATAATGGGAGGGGAAACACTGAATGAACCATTGCTTGAAAGATTTCCAGGAAATGAAAAGAGACAAATACAATGTTTTGAATTAAAAATGGTTCTTTGTGAGACACCAGACTTCAGCCTGCCAAAGGAAGTCATATTATTATGGCACGCTAAAGTCTGGCATTCGATGTTGGCTCAAGATATGTTATTTTTCCAAATGTTTAATCGTTTCTTCTGAGGTAGAAATCAAAGGGTTTTATTGGACAAGAAAGGCGTGTCTTTGTGTTTTGCACGTTGATTTTGAAGGATTTAAACACGTTTTTACTCGCTGTTCCTAGATCACCAAGTTTGTCCAGGATCGACACAGGGCTCGGAGGAGTCGCCTGCGCAAGGATCAGCTTAAGAAACTTCCCATCCACAAGTACAAGAAAGGTATGAAAGCCGTGTCAAGCATTTCATTACGTGAGGTCCCTGTGCCATGTATATGATTAATTCATGTACAGTTTAAATAATATGAAGTGGGTTTGACTGTAGATGAGGATGGTGTGATTAGATATTCTGAGGGTAGACAGTACCATTACACTTACTGTGTGTATGTGTCATATTAAAAAAATCAGAATACACAATCTGTGCATCACCAGGACTTTTAAGCCTTTCTGAAATAACAAATAAAAAAATCATCTTCATCGGGTTCAATCTGACCCTGACCTTTGACCTCAGAGTCTGTAGAGATGCTATTTACTGCTCTACAGTGCTGCTCTCTCTCATATGACTGCCCAGAGGAGGAGAGATGTCATCAAAGTCTTACGACACATCATTCCTCCCCGGAGCTCTACACCTTGGAGCTAATCGGATTAATATGGACTTGATTTTTCCACAAAGCCCTCCGCAGCAGATTACGGCTCCTCTCTGTTGAGACTGGACACATGACTGATGGGTTGGAATGTAGTTTTGGTCTTGCCAGAGGCCTGAAGTGGGGAAAGTGTTTTGTTTCTATGATCAACCATACAGTAGGTTTCTAGCTTGTGAGGACAGATTACCAATTACATGTTTTTAGATATTCAGTGTTTGTAACTTCTGAAGTTTTTCAAGAGTTCAATCTCTGGCTTCTCTTTCAGTTTTGGTACAAAAGTCCAGACCCCCTTTTAGTTCAGATTGCTGATGCACATACTCTTTGTGCTAAGGTCGAGCATGTTTTGTCCGTGTGTTTAGAGATTTTTTTCATACCGTCTGTGTTTCCTCCGGCAGCTGTGTCTCGCAGACTGGAAAGCCCCCGCCTGACTACAATCAGCTGTGCGAGGGAACACCAGGAGAGCTTTACAAACTACGGGTGGTGCATAATAAGTAGCCCCCTTGTAAAGCTGCTAATTGAGGGGGTTATGAGTCGAGCAGCTCCTCCCTGCCTGGCAGTAACACATGCACGTGCTGCACCGCAGCCAAAAGTGGTGTGTGTTGCTCAGATAGCTGCTTTTGTCACGTCAGGCTCTGTGGTTTAGCATGGCTGTGTGTGCGCACGCAGTGCCCACTCCAAGTCAGGGTTTCCACCAGGCACTGCTCGTTTTGTCCTTGGCTCGCTGCAGGGAGTTCAGATGTCCAGGAAACGGCCTCCTGTGCGGCGTCTGTGATCCTGTTAGCTGAGTCAGAGTGTTAAGCGACACAGGAAGGGGACACCAAATCTCTACCTAATCACCTTTTAAGCCCTGAACTCCTGCGCATGGCTAGCGTGTCAGATTTGAGGGGGGTGGGCAAAAATAGGGTGGCACTGGTGCAGTGGGACGGGGTCTCTGTGAGCCAATGGGGTTTGTTGTTAGCCAGTGATTACACCAGAAGAGAGCAAGAACTCGATAACTTTGTTGTCTATGTTTATAACAATGAGATCACTAACAGCACATAACACAAGTGTGTGACCTTATGTTACATCATTACATCATTTACATTTGTAGCAGTGTTCTTTGGAAGCACTTTTCTTTTAACACCCCCTCTCATTTATTTTTATTTAGTTAACCTAACCTTTTTTAAGAGAGTCCTGGCCAACACAGCAGCATCAAAGTTTCAGACAGAGAGAAAAAGACAGACAAATATTACATCAATCAACAAATCAGAAGCCTTATTGTAGTGGTCAAATGATCCATTATCCTGGTTTTAAAGTCTTCTAAGCCTACTAAAGGCTGTAGTTTAAGGTGACTCTGCAACCAAGACCTCCAAACTGCATACCTGTTAAACAATACTGTGCGAAAACACCCAAACGAAACGTATACTTCTTTGACATGATTTCAAGTTCAGTTGTGTTGTCTGCCTCAAAAAAATTGAATTTTAAATCTCTAGCCAATGAGTTTTAAAGGCAGGGTTGGTAATTTTCTCCAAATACACTTTTTAAGATTTAGGTTGAAATTGTCTTTCGGTTCTGACAGATATTAATAATACATGTGCGCTGTAAAAGGAATGAAGAAAATCTGTCATCTGTAGCAGTTTGTAAGCCTGTAAAAACTTCAACCAATGTCTGCACGAGGCACCAATCTGAAGAACCAATCATGCCTCATTGTCTCCCTGCTCGTTCTCTACCCTTTGTGTGCACTAGCCCACACTCAAAGAGCGTCACCGATGACAGGGTTTATTCTAGGAGTTTGTCATTGGCTGTTGTGAGTACTAAAATTGTCACTGTTTTTGTAACATGTATTATGATAAAGTTTAGTATTTTCTTACCACTGAATGAGACATCAGACCACGTACTTTCTACACAAGGGCGCTCGTGCCTTGTAATTGAGGCGGCGTGGCTTTTGAGGGAGCACAGAGGGGAAGGGGGTAGGTGAAGACGGAGCACTGAGGGAAGTTACTTTCAAAATCCTGCTAGTTTTTGAAAACTACCAACCCTGCCTTCAACCAACAATTTCATGACATCCACCCGTTGCTGCTGTTGCAGAAGATTTCACTGTAAATGAGCGAACAGGACCATTTTTAACTTGCTCTTCACCTCTGCTTGAAGCTAGCTGCCAAAGGCTACACTGGACTCTTAACGTATGCAGTTGTGCACTCTGGGTAATGTAGTTGCCAAGAGTTGACAAGAAAGAAGTATGGGTTGAGAAAACAAGAAAACATTTGACATCATGAATGCAAACATGTTATGCACTGTGCACAGTGAATGTTTAATCAGAGAAATATATATATATATATATATAATATATATTTAAAATAATTTCACAACTCTGCCTTTTGTTCTTTGAAACACAGACTTGTGGAATTGAAATAAAGGGGAAAAAAGACGTAAGCGAGGCTTTTAAGACCCCCTGTGGTCTTGTTTGTAAAATTCCAATTTACTTGTCGTCAAGCCTCATGTTGTGACACACAAGGATTTTTTTTTAGCGTGAGCATTTTTCTGGAACAGCTCAGTGCCACACAAGTCACTATGATGCTCAATTCTCACTGCTTCTCCAATTCTCAACTTTTTTGGCAGCATGCCTGAACTTGGGGTTCAGAGAATGAGTGAGTGTGTGTGTGTCTGTGTGTTTCTCTGTGTGTGTGTGTGTGTGTGTGTGTGTGTGTGTGTGTGTGTGTGTGTGTGTGTGTGCAGTAAAGAGTGGGAAGGATGCCTAATGGCGCCCTTGGCCTCCACTGCAGCAGATAATGCTGAGCTTTGACTCTGGGGGCTTTGAACAGAAGCAGCCATCATGAACAGGAACGCTGTGATGCCGCGTTTGTGTTGCTTTTAAAGCTGCAATCCCAACTTTCCATACGGTCAAATTTGACACAGCTTTTAGTGGGTCAGTAGTGAAATTATCACTCACTTTTTTTCTCTTTGTTACATTTTTTTTTTTTTCTTTCTTAGCCTTTTTGGAGCCAAATGCAAAACAAAGATTTGCTAGCTTTCCTATTATGTAACATGTGGATTAATTTACATGTTTTTACAGTATTTACAAATGGAACGTGGTGTGATGTCTTTTCTGGTCGACTGAAGTCATTTCAGACAAGATGTTAGCCCGCTGATTTATCTCATCCCCGGCTTCTGTGCTGGCAGGACTCCATTGTGCTGATGAGTATCTGCCCACCATCCACCTTCTCTGGCAGAGGAGCTGAGACTGACAGAATCATCAGAATCTATCCATCAGCTCTGTGAACACTTTGTCAGACAAGCTGCAATAGACGTGTTTTTATCACACATTGCTTTCTGGTGTTGTTGAGCATGCATTCACATACGCCTTTATGTTATCGAAACATTTAGTATTTGATGTTGATATTCAGTTATTGATGCAAATGGCTGCCTGGATCTGAGCCTAAGGTGTTGATGTTAGCATAGGCTATCAGACGTACATGTATGGAAAAGGTTTTGAGCAGGCTGAAATGAATGCTAGCTTACACAAAAGGAGTCTGTATGAATAGTGCACAATGGCGTCATGAAAACCACGCTACCCGTGTAATTGGCACACAATGCCAGTCTGAGCAGCAGCGTGCAACATACGTCCACTTTCGATGTACAGGATTATGTAATAGCAGCTGCCACAGCTGTCAGAGAGCAGCGCCATTAGCTTGACTTACGCCCTGCTTTTATTGCACAGCCTTGCGTCACCCCAGTTAGGCTGTGAGACTGACAGCACGCTTTGGCCCTCTGGTTTGTGAGTTTGAGACGTACGAAGTCAGAGTGCGACCACACACACACGCACGCACACACACGCACGCACGCACGCACGCACGCACGCACACACACACACACACACACACACGGCCACATACACACACATGTACATCGTGAATTGTGCTCTGACTGGAGAAACAAGAGGGATTGTTTTCAACTTAAGTTTCAACCTCTGACCTCTAGTCTAATCCCTCCCTGCGTATGATGAGTCACTCCACCCCTTCGATCGGCCTCAAAGCAGGGAGTTGAACCCACACACACACACACACACACACACGCTGAAGAGAGCAGCTGCAGTGTCTCAGCCATCGGTGTGTGAGGCATGTTGATGTCAGTACAGAGGAGCCCTCTCTGTCTCTCAGTTCACTGGTCTCGGTGCCAGCTGCCCTCGTCTGGTTGGCTCAAGCTGTGTCGGACTGTGCTGTAGTTTTTTTTTTTGTTACACAGTTTTTCTGTCACCGTCTCTTCATTTGGCTGCTTGCTACGCAAACTCACCGCTCATCTGGAGTTCAGTAGGACAGCGTGGATCCTCTGAGAGCAGAGAATGCTGGCAGGGCTTGCTGACTAATGAAAAATAAGAGAGAAGAGGAGCTGCAGTGGCTCACAAAGCCGTCGACGATGTGCTACTGGCCCCAAAACATAAATGGGAAGGGATTCCCAGCAGCTGAACAGTGCACACACTGCCAAAAGAAAAATATTTAACCTCCAAACTACAACTCCACTTAAAAACAAAATAGATTCCACAATATACCAATACCCTTTGTCTTCATCAGGCATCTAAATCTATATCTTTTTTTTTTTGCCATTTCATCGCATTGTTTAATCAAGAGGAATTATTTTCCTTCTCTATTTCATCGCATGCTGCTGGCAACTCTTGTGCTGTACCTGTGAGAGTCTTCTCAGCCCACGTATGCACATCACAGTAACGTCATGATTTAAATTGCTTAAAGTGTAGAAATGAGGAGTGGGAAATGCCCGCTGCAGGCTCTTTGATCAGTCATTTGCTCGGTGATGAGGGATGACCAGAGTGTGAATGATGTTCTGCTGCAGAGTGCTGCGCTGCATGTTTCTCATTGGATACAGAGTCCAGGGACCGTTTGAGTCATTCGGAAGTCTCTGCAGTCCACTCGGATCGTTTGTTTGTTTTGTTTTTTAAAAACCATTACACATTATTTAATTCTGTCAAACACATAAAACAGGCAGCAAAATGTTGTGCTGGTTCAGTGGAAGTTCAGATGATCACCGGATACTAATGATGTCACAGTACAGACTAAACTATATGACCATATACAGAAAGCCTTTTGTGTTCATATATCATGAAATACTGTTGTGAAGAGTTGTTAATTATGTTCTAGAAAAACACAAAAAAAAGTAATAGAAATGAAAGGATACTTGCAACAACTCCAGTTGTATTTTTTGTTGCTTTTGCCATGACGTCTGTCAGTTTTAAATGAACTGCTCATGAAACAAATGATTGAAATTTACACACACATCTTACTTTCACAGGTTAGTCATAAAAACAGGCTCATCAGATGATCATCCACTTTGTAAACAAGACAACAGTTTAACCCAAGTATATAAATCAGTTTAGATAATATAACACTGTTAGTATAGAATTATTATTATCTTAAAGGACAGACAAAAGTAAAGTCATACGAAAGTTGTAAAAGAAAACAAAAATTGTTTGGGTTGAACATTTTAAACGATACCCAGCTCTGTTTTGTCTCCCCAGGGCAGAGTTCATAGAGCCAATGAACTTTTGTAGTCAGAATAGCTCAGTTACTGCCACATGTGAGCATTTCCTGCCTGTATAATGGAGCCATGCCTGCAAAATCATTCCTCTCCCTCACTCAGGCTGTCTACCACTGACCGGTGAGAAAGAGGAAAAGATGGAAGCTGCTTATCTTATCTCAAATGTGTTTGATACAAAACAAAAAAAAGAAAGATGGGGATGAACTTAAAGGAGATGTTTAGATGAGAAAAAAACAGAACTGTAAGGAGGGGAGAGGGAGCTGAATACAAGTTGAAGTTGCTGACGGGAAGAGAGAGAGAGAAGGAAAGGGGGGGGGGTTGGGGGGTTATGGTCTATGTGACTCCCCATCCTTATACGGTCACATGCAGCCCTGGCATGGACACAGAGAGCTCAGTTGGGAAAAACATGCTCATTTAGAGCTTACATAAACACACCGACCCACAGTCCCGCTCACTCCTCCCTCCAGCCCGAGCAGGGAAGAGGAGGAAAAGGAGAAGAACGCTGTGGAATTTGAAAGGGAGTGCGTCGATAAATTCCTGAGCTTTTACAGCACAGAGGTCCATGCGCCTCCTTGTAAAATGAGGAAATTCAGCACTAGTGGTTAAGCAGCAAATCTCCCTGCAGGATGGGAGTTAGATGAGACCTTTTGAAGAAAGTGAAAAGAGTTCAAGTACACTCGTTAGGCAGCTGGAGTTCTTTTTTTGCCTGAGTCGTCAATGATCCACCTGACGTCAGCAGTCTTCAGGAAACATAAAAACAACCAAATCCTCTTGTGCTTTTAAAATAGACACGGTGACACATGGTCACACATTGTCTCCTCATTGTCCCCTAGTTGTCTTTATAACCCAAGATGAGCAACTTTATACTTATCCTCCTCAAGTTAACCATTATTTGATTAACTGTACAGGGCAGTGCTTTTGTGCATTATCACATACAGTACCACCACAGAAAAAATAAATAGCTATTTGTTGTCTGAAGTCAGGTTTATGTATCAATCTCTGAACACACCATACTACTTTAATTTTTTAATTTCAATTTAATTTTTTAATTTTTTCTTTGAAAAAAAAAATAAAAACAAAGTATAAAAAAATAATTTCAGTCTTCCTGCTGTAAGAATTATAGCCCAACCCATTCATCGGCCAGCCAATAATATTGCCCGATGTTAGCTTATCAAGTGACTTAGCTTGTCATCGGTATCTCAGATATGCGCCCATATTACTAGATTAATTCACCAGTCAAATAGCATTTCATTTGAGCGTCATTGTATTACACTCGCAGTTTTCTTTCTGGCTTTCATCAGAAGAGTGTATTATATGGATTATAACAAGCAGTGTCACTCTCCAGAGTGTGAATCAGTGATGTGCATCTTGTCTTCATTATGTCTTTTCCACAAATATTTGATCTGCATTTGAGCAATCAACGCAATAATTGTGTATATCTACATCTATCTCTCTCTATAGATCAAACATAAATCTAAGAAAGATATCAGCCAATATATAGGTATCTGATTTTTTTCTCCACCCAATATTCATAGCGCTATCGCTCCCAAAAATTCCCATATCGGTCAGGTGCTAGGAAGAATGGATTTAAAGCTATTATGGATATGTCAGAGCTGTACAGGTATTTGAAGATTAAGGTACTTTCACTGGCCAATAAGAAATGAGAATTATAAATTATTATTAGGATCTTTCTAATGTGTTCAGTTAAAAGTAGTCAGAAGATAATCCAACTTTTTACCCAGAGGAAAATAAACTTCTATGATTATGATTAGCAGTATGTTTTTCAGAGCCATACAGGTATCTGAGAATAATGAACGTCTTCTGGCCAATAGGACACTAGTCCAATTAAAGCTCATTAAAGCACTTTATCCAGTTAGAAGCAGTCCAAAGATAAAAATCTTTTGTCTTTATTCAACGGGGGATAACTAGGAAACTTGAAGCTTTGAGTGTAAATGTAATGCTCTAAATGTTTTTTTCAGAGTCGTTCTTGTTAGTGTCAGTATTGTTAATGTATTTTCATTATCATAACAATCTGAAAATAATGTGCCTCTAATGGCCAACAGAAAAAAAATATAACTAATGTCCATCAAAGCTCTCTTTACCTGTGTATTCTGAATACATCTTGTTGTTTCTTACCCAGGGGACAACTATGATGTATGCGCCATCTGCCTGGACGAGTATGAAGAAGGTGACAAGCTCAGAGTCCTGCCGTGTTCCCACGGTGAGTGTGACTGAATATGAACTGCATGTGACCAGTTGACCTCTCTTGACAAGCTCGTTCCACAGCAGTCTCAAAGTCAAAGACCTCAGTGTTGCAGTGTCACGGGCAAGCTGATGACATCTCTTTGTGCTAAAGCCCTATCTTGCAAACCTTTTGGCCTAACAAATGTTTTTTGGCAGATTTGAAAGTTCATCAAGTATTCAGCAAGATCAAATCACAATAAGTTGACACTAAAGTGAGGGAACATGCCACTTGTTAATATGATCATTTGATTGTTGGTTTTAGTATTTGAAAATTCCAAAAATGTCATAAATGGCCGGATTATCTTTTTAAGTAGAAGAAACAATATAGAGTCCTTGGAGATCTTGAGTTGTTTTTTTTTTTTTTGTTCCTGTCTCTAGCCTACCACAGTAAGTGTGTGGACCCCTGGTTGACCAAAACTAAGAAGACCTGTCCAGTGTGCAAGCAGAAAGTGGTCCCCTCACAGGGGGACTCTGACTCGGATTCAGAGGAAGGGGAGAGCAGCCCCGAGGAGAACGAGGAGGTTTCGGAGAGCACCCCTCTTTTGCGCTCTCTGGCCTCCACCAGCGCCCACTCCTTCGGTACCATGTCAGCGGCGTCGCGCTCAGACCCCGAGCAAGAGTCCTCCGAGTACGAGGACGATGAGCTGGACAGCAGCGACAGCGACGAAGAGGTCACCGTGGAAACTGTGGTAGTGCAGATGCAGCAGCCGTGCTCTGAAGGCCATGACCAGGAGGACGACCTGCCCCGAGCTTGACTGATTGTTGGTTGGCTGATCAACAAAGCCTGCCCCCCCGCCCCCCCCTCCCCCCTCTCGCATACCTCACAGCCGCAGAGACTTTTGTTGGGGTTACCAAACAGATTAATCATCTGATTACTTCTTTCTCTCACCGCTTACAAGACGCAGTTATATATCCACCATCGTTTTATTTTTAACATGATTATGGACATATCGCTGATGACACTGTCATGAGCTGACCTGCTTGGCACATTAGAAGGCACGGGTGATGTACAGTAGACTGGTATACTGTAACTAGTCATAAACAGAGGAAATAGAAGTTTAATAAAATGTGTATATAAAAATTGAGATCACAATAAGTTACATCTCTTTAGTTATCTCCTGTTCTGTATGTTTCAGATGATAGGGGACGTTTCATTATTGTACATACAGTTACACTGACACACCATGAACCGCTATGCAGCATCCTTTTTGTAAACTTACATTAAGCAAGTATAGAAACATTTAAAGCCACAGCTATATGTTTTTTTTTGTTTTTTTTTGCCAATTTATTTCTAGCCTGATGTATGACGGAGCCTTTAGGTGCTCCTGTCTGTTCTGTGCCACAGTTTTTCTGTTACAAAAGATGATTCACTTTAAGACAAACTGAAGCGAAACCAGTTTGGGAAACACATTCAAAGCAAAGAATGTCATTCTCTGTGAGACAGGTTATGTTGTGACGCCAGTTTAAACGTGTGGGGAAGAAACACGGGTGAAAACTGTGTCCACACTGCCTGTGGTTAACTTCATTTGGCTGCTCCAGACCTATCACCTCTTCACACAGATATTGATTGATTGGCCTTCTAATACACATTTAGAACTTGACTTAATCTCATTTTAATATGGCTTATAATAACCATTGACTTTTGTTTTCACAATATTGAATGATTTTTGTTCATGAAACCTCTCGCCTTTTTTCAGTTGATGTATTTTGTCTTGTTTTCCTGCTCCTGTATCTACTCTGAATTCACTTCAATAAATGAAAATTACACTCGACAAGGAAACTTGAATGGTTAATCGTTAACTTCGTCACAGTCTTATGCGTACACTTTTTTTTTACTACCATCTAAACTACCTTCCCTTTCATTGTATTCAACTTCTCAAGTGTGTTCAAGTGGGGTTGTTGCCGATAACACACAGGCTGCTGTAAACTTTTTAAGTGGAAGGACCTTACAGAAATCAGCTCATTTCACTTTGGCATGGCTCATTTGTGAGTGACATTTTTTGTTGTCAAATAACACTTATTTCTCAGAGCACACTTTTGACCTCTGGCTGGAGATCTGTGTTGCTTTTGTAGGGTCCCCATTACTATTTCCTCCTGGCCGTATAATAAAAAGGCTTAGAAGTCCTTCTGGGTACAGGTGTTCAAAATAAGCATCCGCTATAAACATTATGATGCATCATAACTTTTCAACGTATCTGTGTACTGCATCTGTTCCTATGAAATACACCACAAATTAATGATAGAAAACAGTCAAGTCTCAAGACAAGTTGCTGGAGTTCCAATCACATCATATGAACTTCTTCAACTCATGTTTGTGGGGGATCTGAGCCTTTGTTCGATAGGACAGCTGGAGGGAGACTGGACGTGTGGGGATGATTTGCACCAAACAGCATCAGGTCTAGGGAGTACAAATAGCCACTTCTATGATAAGAACTGCCTGCCTTTGTGAAATGGGCGCCTGCTCTTCAGAGCTAGACCAGCACTGTTTGTTAAACAGCTTTTACCAAACTAGTTCTTTGTTCCAAAGAACACCAAAATGTAATATATTATTTACACTGTGCAGAGAATGGAACCAACACTAATTCATTTATTTTAAAGAAATCAGCTATTATAATCAGACATTTCTCCTGGCCTGTTTCTAGCGACAGATAACTGAATGATCTGTGAACTATTGGTTTTTAATTTGTTCCATAGAGTTGAGGTTTATTTGCAATAGCTCCAACACTTTTGACTAACCTTGGACACTCCTGTCCAACCTAATGCAATTTAAAACTGGACATCATTCTAATGTTTTGGACAGAGTCGGGCTACCCTTTGAATGTACAGTATTTTCTATATTGTGCTAAACAGCGTCATGTTTACAAAGACATGTTACAATATTGTCGTGCAAGTGTTAACACTTCCTTTACATTTTTAAATAATCCTTTAAAAAAAAGGGGACAGACTGGAATTTGAATAAAGGACAACAAACATTGATCTGGTTGGAATAAATTTATTTGATCTGTCTGTAAACAAGGTGATAAATCAATTTATGGCATTTCTTGTTTTTATGCATATGAAATCAGATGCATTAAAGAGACTGTATCCCAGATGTAAGAAAAAAGAGGGGTGAGGAAAAAAGGAAATAAATCAGCAAACAGGACTTGAAACAGGTTATTGTTTTGAGTACACATACACAAGGCCTAAACAGTGGAGCTGAAGCTTAAAAAAAAAGAAAAGTGCCAATGAAATGACTTTTAGTGGACAGTGAGTAAAATCCATCTTACAACAGCTACAGATCTCTATATTATGGCACAGGATACACAGGTTCTGCAGTTAAGTTTTCGACAAGACAACCAGAGGCGTCTTTGTTCCAACCATCTCATCTCCCATTGAGTGTCGTTTTTACGTTTGATAGTGTTTTTTGGAGGTGGACATTACAGTTAGCAGTACTGAGCATGGACAGACCGTGTGATAACCCAGAGCTCAGCTGACTATAGAGCAGAAGGCAATTTATTCCACAGTTTTGTAGTTGTCAACATATGGTGGGTTTGTACAAATGCAGTCGCTTGTTTTCTAAACAATAAAGAAAAAAGAAAAAAAAAAATGACAATTTACTTCATATAGTCCCACCCTTACCATCCCGGTAGCTTCATATTTTTTACCATAGTGAGTATTACTGCCTGGTTAGCATCTTTTGTCAGAAAAAGTTAGCAGTCATCCTTCACATGATTTAGAGCAATTGTATAAACACCCAATCTTCGACTACACTTGGTCCTATACAAAAGAAAGAAAAAAAAAACCTGGACACATTCCAGATGGTTATATATGCTGGGATTTCTACTGTCCAAAAATGGCAGCCTTGAAAAAAAAACTAAATCAAAAAAGAAAATATATATTACAGGAGCTGGCAAACATAAACAGTATTAAGTGCCTGAGCCATTGTTACTGTGGAATGTCCATGGGGTTTTTGTCATGTAGTAAGGGAAGGTGCGATGGTGAGAGGAGAGGTTTACAGCATCTTGACGACACCAGTGCTCGCTAATGATTATTAACTGAGCTGTGCCCCCACCCTTTAAGAAAACGTTATAAAGGACAGAGCCGTGAATCTGAAAGGAGGGGGACAAAAAGGACCTGTTCAGTGACATCTGGTTGTTTGATGAAGATGAGTCTGTGAGGTTAGTAGTGTAGTCTGCTTTGAGCAAACAGGATGAGGAAACATGAAGCTGGAAGGAACTTTATGGAGGGAGGGAGGGGGGGGGGGATCTAGATATGCACGCAGTGTGCCCTCCCAAAGATGATTTGGGGAGGGGTTAATAGAGGAAGACATGACGAGCTTGGCTAAAGCTCAAGTGCTCCAAAGGCATTGGGGAAGGGGGTGTGTATGATTGGGTTTGGGAGGAATTAGGCAACGGGCACTATGACGTGATAGAAAAAGAAATGTCTACTTCAGAAACGACACGGTCGCCTTCCTTATACGAGTGTTTGGCCAGAATTTTTTTTGCTGGTCTTGGTTACGTACAGATTTGTCATGACACCCTGTTAGCAACATGTTCATCTTTGCTATGGATCAACTTATAGTGCTTGAGAGGGAACAAGTACACAGCGCAGGTGTGTTGGGGAAAGGGGGGGGGGGGGTGACAAAAAAATACAGGATAACAAATAGGTAGGAGAAAAGGCAGAAGAAAAAATAAAAACAAATTAACTACCAACTAGGACTGGAAGTAGTGTGAAATGCAACAGGGTGGTAAGGATGAGCTGCTAGGTGGCTGGGTACAGGCTGCTTTAGTATCCGGACTTCCTCAGGTAGTCAGCCATCTGAAATGCTTTCTTGTTGAGCTGCCCTCCATGGACACCTTCCTTCCCCATGACAACAACCAATGCTGGAGTACACAAAAGGAAAAATAAAAAAATAAATGAACAGACATGATGATAGCAGGACTTGAAAATAAAATACCTTTTTAGTAGACAGAGTGTGAACTCTGTATATTAGAAATGCTCCCGGGGTTTTTTTTTTGTGTTTTTTTTAATTGGGGCTGTTGGACAGGAAACATTGACTCGACAGTTAAGATATTTTTTGTTTTGTTTTGTTTTTTTACATTTTGTGGCTTTTTTTGTTTTCTTTTCCTTGTGTTTTTTTTCTCTCCCTCAACTATACCACATAAGCTACATCAAAACTAAACTAAAACCCTGAATCCCTCAAGTATTTTGCCATCGAGTATGCCTTCTTATTCAATCCGCCTCCATGGACCCCTTCTTTGCCCATTACCAAGACCAAAACTGAAAGAAAAGAGACAGATAAGGGACATTTAGAGAAGGTACAGAGATCACACCAGTGAAAAGAGAAGAGCACAGAGCCAAAAAAGCAGCATGCAGACAAGACGACAGAGGACTACACTGAAACAAAAAACGAAGCGACGCTTTGGTCAGACAGCTTAGTCTTTACATTCATTTTCTCATCAGTGCTGCTGGTGGTGAAACAACAAGACAGTAGACAGTACACTTAGAACACAGAGCGTGAGTACTGCAGGAGAATACATGTAAAGGAGGCATGCAAAGCCGTTTACTGATTAATCAGGCAAAGATCAGAGCAGTAGTATATACAATGCCATGTCTACTTTCATTTCTATAGACTTCCACAAAGAGCATGTGTTTGTTAGCTACAGAAAACTATGTCAGTCTGATCTGGCCTCACAAGAAGTATTACTATAAGACAGGAGTCAAACTAAGTGACAATTTGACAAGATCCAGGCTAGGATTTAGGAATGCTTAAATAAGGCAAGAGCCACAATACTGATGATTATCGTTCTACAATACGCATGTGTGAAAACTCTTCTCTTGGTGAGCATAATGATTGAATATCAATTTAAGTGTATTTTGTATGACAAAAAGGCAAAGTGTATGAGGAGAAAATGTAGCTTCAAAATCAGCTTCTTGCTTTATTCTAGCTGAAAAACCAACAAGATAGTTTGGATATTGGACCAATATAAGAGGCTGATGGTGCAGGAGAACATTAGTATTCATCTCCCCGTCTATACTACTAACCAACTTAACTGCACACAACTTGTACAGAGTATCCTTTATTGTCTCATCTGTAATCAATATACACCATGCCAGCAGCAAAGAATAGGAAAGTGAAGCTTCTACTTAATACTAACAACCAACACTAATAGAGCACACATGCAGAGACAGTAGCATGCTTGTGGTACCTCTCCTCAATACATGTAAAAGCCCTGAAGTGCCTGAATAAGTATTTCAACACAGTGGAAGCATGTGAGCAGGGGAACAGATCCAAACTTTAGAGGGCAGGGTGTGTGTGTGTGTGTGTAACCAGGAAGAAGGAAGAGAAGACGCATGCAGTTCAGGGAGTTTTAAAGGGAATCCTGGCCCAAAGAGAGAGCCCAGTATGTGAAGAGAAGGAACCAGTTAGTCTCACCTCAACATTTTAGCAGTGTCTGGGAATAGTTGGGAGGACAGGGCATCGGGGCCCACACAGGCAACATGAAAACCGGCACAACTCTCAGGCATAGTACATAATGCAATTTTACCTTAAATCTCTTAAGCTGGTACTTTTTTTGTTGGATACAAAATATAACAGTCATTGCAAATGCAATGAGCAGTTTACTGTAAGACAGCAATGAGTATTCAAAACCATTTTAAAGATTACAATATCAGGTTATCACGTTTTGCCTCAGCCTCCAATCTTGATAAACATGAAATATTAATTTATGTTTTTGCACATTGACTTTCAGCTAAATGGTTTTTTTTTTGTTTTTTTTTATAAAGTAAAGATCTGCGAGT